TTTTCTGTATGCACCCTCTCCACCCCACTCATGCTTTTATAGACCTCTATCATATCCCCCTCCATCTCCTCTTTTCTAGCTGAAAAGTCCCAGTCTCTTTAGCCTCTCTTCATATGGGACCTGTTCCAAACCCCTGATCATTTTAGTTGCCCTCCCCTCTCCCACCCTCTCTCTTCCCCTCTCCCACCTCCTTTTCCCAGTCTCCCCGAGTTTTGTTCAATAAAGAGAGTTTCTATTTTTGAACACACGTGTCCTTTATTTTGTACATCAAGAAGGGGGGGGCTAGGGAGGGGTAAGTGGAAGGAGGTGAGGGAGGAAGGGGGTACGAGCCCCCGATGGGGAGGACTGGGGTGGCTTTGCGGGCTCCTTCTGATGGCCGAGTGCTGTGATGTGCCCAGTGTGGGTACTCCAGGCAATCCAAGCCAGGACTGCTTTGCAAGCGGGGCACCCCTGAGAACTGTTTGTCCGGGGTGGGGGTCGGATCCCTTTAAGCACAGCCCTCGGCTAGCCTGAGACAGCAACTCCATGCTCTAAGTCCTACTCTGATGCCCTGCCAGCACTGCTTCCGGCCATCCTTAACCCTGGTTCACCGACCATCCTTAACCCCGGTTCAGGGTCCACTCTGTGTGGACATGCTAGTTCGAATTAGCAAAACGCTAATTCGAACTAGTTTTTTAGTCTGGATGCGTTAGTTCGAATTAGCTTAGTTCGAATTAACTAATTCAAACTAAGTTAGTTCGAATTAGCGCTGTAGTGTAGACATACCCTACGTGCTTCACCTCCCTATCTATAAAATGTGATTAATAATACTTCTTCTGTTAATAATATTTCTTCTAATACTGCTTCATATGGATATTGTGAAGATTGTATTTGTAAAGTGCTGCCAGTGAGCTGATTCGCTGCTAGTATCATCAAGGGTTCAGATGTATTTCTCTTATAGAACAAGGTTTAGTATAAAAATACAAGCTGATAATGAGTTCCTGAAAATTCCAGACCCCTGCATTATAGACACTATCGTCATGGCTTCAATTTTGGAAAGCTTATCCTCATCAGTCAAATACAAACTGACAATTAAGAAATATTCTACGTGAAAAAAAGTGGCCTTTCTTTTGATGACTGGGGCAAAACTCACCCAAACCCATCTCTGTTGGACTCTCTCTGTCATGTACCATGAAGCAAACTGACTTGTTGCTGAAAGGTAACATCCAATAACATTGATCTGCTCCCCAAGGAAGACGTAAAGGAAGACAAGAGAGCAAACAAAATG